GTTCGTTTTGAAAATTTATTTACTCCGCGCGTAGTTTGGTTCCGCCTCGATCCCGTTCCGTTCTCGACGTTCCAATTAACGTAACGTGCTTTTTTTTTTTTTTTTTTTTTTTTTGTATAAAAGAGCGCGAGATGGTCCCTTGATTTTCTCGCGCTAGATAAGGACGTGAAAAATGTAGCGGCGATCCGGAAAAATATCGGTCGAAAAGTTCGACCGATTAATTCGGGGATGGAGATGTGCGGAGCTGTGCGAAGCCAGTAGTTAGCGGCTGAAATTTATGATAATTCGGTTATTTGCGTCATTCGCGACGCTCTCGATATACCGTCTCGGAAAGAAAAGTTCGCTCCGCCGCGCGTCTCTCTCATTTTCTCGAAGCCCTTATTTGAATTTAAAATGCGTTTAAAGGAGACTCGCGCGCTCGGGAAAAGTTACGACCGCGTCTCTCGTTTGATGGAACCGCCGGGAAAATTTGTGCGTACAACCGTCGCGGGTTTCCAACAGTTTTTACTTCTTCGATGCAGCGGACTTTTTTTAATAAATTCTGCTTTACCTTTTCTATACTGACGAACTTGTCGGAATCGTATCCGAACCTTTTTCCCGGATGTTTTCTGATTTTAGCATCGCGAGAAATCAAAGTAATCTCTTTATATAAGAGAGCACTTCTCTCTACACAATTTTTATGCAGTTATATTTGACCAAAAAGTATATATTTATAAATTAATATCTAACATATTAATTAATATATTTATATAATCTAGTTTTATTATTTTCAATTGTTTTTCAAAATATTTTCTCGTTTTTATGAAGAATATTATATGAATAAAGAATATTATTTTTGACACATGTAGAGTGAAACTCGCTACTAGAATTATTTCTGCCAATTTTATCGCGCAAAAGCGCGTCGTTTGATATATTAAATAATTATTCTGTTATTATACTTTTGATAAATGGAAATAATATTATTTGTGTAAATGTTTACCTATCGCGCGACAGGTCGCTATTAAAAAAATATCATTTAATTCTATAATAATTATCAGATAATTGATTCTTGATTATTATCGATTATTCATTGACTCGTAATATATCATTTGATTTATAAATGCAGCAGCTCTCTTGCTGAATGCCAATATGATATAATGATGGAGCAACGGCGTTTTATCACAACGAGCACTTTGCTGCTCGATTGTACTATTTATGAACGATGCGTGCAGCTCGTATAAAAAAATCTGAGCTCGTTACACTGTGAAAAAAAATATGTAAAATTACACTTATGATTTATGTTACATATAATTTTTATATAATTTGTAACAGCTCTTTAAAAATTAATATACATATAAAAGGCAATAAGAGCTAATTAAGTTCTGTTATTAATATTTATTTGTGGAAAAAAATTTTTTAACATAAAATATTAGACAAAAAAGTTCGAACGTTTCGGTTGCTTTTTTCATATAATTTTTACTTAATATATTACATATTTTTTTTACAACGGCATCGTAATGACAAAAATTCTAAGCTAACTGAATCGTGAATCTGCGACGACAACGATCGAGAAAGGAACGGGATCGCGAATGTCGTTATCCTCTTAACGATTATCCTCGAAGAGGCTTCTCGTCGCGAAAGAGAAAGAGAGAAAAAAGAAGAGCGCGCGAAAGCCGCAGCTGCAGTTCCGCAGTAGCCTCGAATAGGTTCCGTAAAAAAGTATATAGCGTTGCGGACGACCTTAAAGTCCGCGATGTATCTATTACGTCCGCCACAATTTCCGGCTAGAAGCTGCGGAAGTTCGGAAAGAAGTTTTCGCGGCTACTGGGGCCACTTCCTATATACGCCCCCGAACTTGGTAATAGTTTTACGACTTTTCGGGCTTACGAGGTCGAGCCCTGCGCGCTCGCGTCGAATTAGCGGCCGGGGACCTTTCGAGCTCTTTTGAGTCCCGAAGTGCCGTGACCCGCCGCGAACAAAGCTTATCCGACGTTTCCCCGGGAATGAGGTGATTGTACAGGGTGTCCCGCAACCGATTTTATCCCTTCCCTCTGCCAACACCTTTGGCCACCGAAATTCTCTTCTATTTGCAACTTTCATGCTGCGAGAGCTTAACGAAAAGAATAATACCTGATGGAGAAAATGCTTTATTCTAGACTTTTTTAAATTTAGATTATTTGTATTATAGGTCGCTTAAAAATACAACGAAATATTGCGAGATAAAATCCTTGGTTCTTTTAGACAATTTTTTACTAATGTATAAGAAGGTATTCTATATTTAAATTTCGATTAAATTGCTCAAGTAAATCGCTGTTGCACATTTTAACAACTATACTTTCTTGGAATAATAAATAACGTTTTCTCTTTTACAGAAATAGAAAAGTTATTAAGTTTCAAGCTTCCGAGAATCCATTTTTCGTAACATTTATCTTTCGTGACCAAATGTTTTTTCCCCTTGCAGCTTTCTCTCAGCACGATATAACGATATAATGTGACATAAAAACCGGAAAAGCTTCTGACGATGCGATATATTTTTCTTGTTCAACGCACTGAATTGGGGATACTTCGTATTGATTGCGACGCGTCGCAAAAGGAGCATGAAAACCCTAAGCTCCGGATTTCACAGCGAAATTGATTATCGGCAAGCGATATTGGCGCACAAAAAAATCGATTTCCGGGCAACGGATACATCAATCATAATCTGCTTAGCTCGTGTAACCGTAATAATCTCTAAAAACTCACCTTTAAAAAAAGGTAAAAAAAGGCGACCAGTTAAGGGCACGCCATTAACAAAAATTATCCATTGCAAACCCATGTACAATAGAATTGTATGAAAAATTATCGATTATAAACCCATGTACAATCGTAACAAAAGTAATGAAATAAAAAAAAAATTGCGCCAAGTGAAAGTAGAAACTTGTACCAGTGGAAAATTAAAGTTGCAGACATATATAGAGTCGTATAATGAATCAATAAAAATTTAAATTTGCAAATGTAGAATTGTACCATAAAAAAACTTATCTTTTAAAAAAAAAGATAAACAAGATGCCAAGTCCATGCGCCATGTGAAAAAGTGTTAAACAAAAAAGTATTTTTAAGTAAAAAAATCTATTAATTGACAAAAATTTATGTTCTAAAATTAATATCTCTACAAAAAGTAATGTCCAATTATTGCGCGAATAAATAAACATTTTTATAAAAAATTAAAATTTAAAAACTTATGCAAATTTAAAATTAATATAAAATAAAAAGAAATAAAAAAATTTTAGTTAAAAAAACTGGGCGCGCTGCTAAATAATATTCTAATGATATTAAAATTAAATTGTTACTTTTAAACTCATTGCAGCGCGCCCAGTTTTTTTAACTAAAATTTTTTTATTTCTTTTTATTTTATATTAATTTTAAATTTGCCAAATCGCGGATGACAATGCGTTATCCTAACGAAACTAAATAATTTTTCGTTAGAATTAAATACCGGTGCACAAGGCACCAAATTTTAACTTGGACACGGCCAAGATTTTAAATATGAAATAATCTCATATTTTGAGATTTAATTTCAATACCCCTTTTAACCCCCCTACGGAAAATAAATAAATGAATGCAAGAGAAAAATATAGATCCGAAAATCGCTGAATCGGGAATCGAACCCGAGACCTTTCGCTTGCCGGGCGACTGCTCTTCCAGCTGAGCTATTCAGATCCTTTCGATTCTATACTTTTCTCTGTTATATATATTAATGTTGGTAAACAAACGCATTTTTTAAGCCAGCGTGTATCAAATATAAGAGTTTTAACAAGGCTCTGTAATATAAATATAAATTTAACGTATAAGACGGGCAACAAGAGCCAAATCGCGGATGACAATGCGTTATCATAACGAAACTAAATAATTTTTCGTTAGAATTAAATACCGGTGCACAAGGCACCAAATTTTAACTTGGACACGGCCAAGATTTTAAATATGAAATAATCTCATATTTTGAGATTTAATTTCAATACCCCTTTTAACCCCCCTACGGAAAATAAATAAATGAATGCAAGAGAAAAATATAGATCCGAAAATCGCTGAATCGGGAATCGAACCCGAGACCTTTCGCTTGCCGGGCGACTGCTCTTCCAGCTGAGCTATTCAGATCCTTTCGATTCTATACTTTTCTCTGTTATATATATTAATGTTGGTAAACAAACGCATTTTTTAAGCCAGCGTGTATCAAATATAAGAGTTTTAACAAGGCTCTGTAATATAAATATAAATTTAACGTATAAGACGGGCAACAAGAGCCAAATCGCGGATGACAATGCGTTATCCTAACGAAACTAAATAATTTTTCGTTAGAATTAAATACCGGTGCACAAGGCACCAAATTTTAACTTGGACACGGCCAAGATTTTAAATATGAAATAATCTCATATTTTGAGATTTAATTTCAATACCCCTTTTAACCCCCCTACGGAAAATAAATAAATGAATGCAAGAGAAAAATATAGATCCGAAAATCGCTGAATCGGGAATCGAACCCGAGACCTTTCGCTTGCCGGGCGACTGCTCTTCCAGCTGAGCTATTCAGATCCTTTCGATTCTATACTTTTCTCTGTTATATATATTAATGTTGGTAAACAAACGCATTTTTTAAGCCAGCGTGTATCAAATATAAGAGTTTTAACAAGGCTCTGTAATATAAATATAAATTTAACGTATAAGACGGGCAACAAGAGCCAAATCGCGGATGACAATGCGTTATCCTAACGAAACTAAATAATTCTTCGTTAGAATTAAATACCGGTGCACAAGGCATCAAATTTTTACTTGGACACGGCCAAGATTTTAAATATGAAATAATCTCATATTTTGAGATTTAATTTCAATACCCCTTTAACCCCCCTACGAAAAATAAATAAATGAATGCAAGAGAAAAATATAGATCCGAAAATCGCTGAATCGGGAATCGACCAAGCTATATATATATATATATAGCCAACAACAAACTCTCGAAAACAAACGTTTCTTTCTTATTGTTCTAGCGGGTAACAACGTGAACGAGCCACCTATCCTGGAGGCCGGTGGATACCCCACGGGTTTGCCGCTCTCGGAATCGACCAAGGTCGGGACGGAGGTGTTCGTCCTCAAGGGCCACGATCCCGAAGGATCGCCGGTGAAATACGGCATACAACTCACGGATCATTTCGTTGTCAACCCGCGCACCGGTGTCATCACTCTGGCGAAGCCTCTCAATCGCGAGGTAAGAAAAAAAAAATAGTCTATTGGTTTAGGACGCGAGGCAGCCTTATCGGAGCTAGAGCGCAAATTGCATGCAGCCCTTATTTGAGCGACCAGGGTCGATCCTATCTCGCTCGCGACGCTCTGAGCTCGTATCGCAATATTTTACGTGCAGCTTCACCTATATCGTTTATCTCCGCTAGTTTGTTTTTGATTTCTCATTCTCCTTTAAATCTTAATATAGACTAATATAATAATAGGTAGGAAAATAGAGAGAGAGAGAGAGAGAGAGAAAGAAGAAAAATTAATTACATTTATATTAGATTTTTTTCTTATTAATCGATATTGATGAAGACGGTTCACTTTGCTAGGATTAAATCTTTGAAGATTATTGAAAACAAGGAAGTCAAAATTTACAAAGATTATCAAAAGTGATTTAAAATTGTTATGTATTTAGGATACATAATGTAATTGCCTTTCTGAAACAAACCGAATCTTCAGAACGACAAGATAAATTTAATCGAGTTTAGGTTTAAATGAACGCAATCTAAGTTAAGAACCGTATGATTCTTTGAATCGTTTTTTCTAAATTTAAGACTGGGATTGCAAGCTGATTAAGGTAAAAGAAAATCGATAATTAAATTTAATTAACCAGGATTGTCGCCAGAAACTGATTAAAAATTTATCTATTGGAACAGTTGATTACTTTGCTCTGCTCTTGTTAAATTCAGTCTGTTTAGCAGAGTTTCCTGTAGTACATGCTATATTTACATTACTTACAGTACTTACATCGCTGTAAAGTAAACAGCGTCATGAATACTGCTTATGAGGTTCATGCAACTACTTAAGCTCTAAGAGGGCACGCTTGAGTTTGGAGACAGTGCCTTTATCTTCAGCATGTCTTCAAGCCCGAAATTCAGAGAGCAAGTAATTAGTTGTCATCAAACATATAGTGTCAGGGATATTAAATACTTGACACTTTAATTGCGTTGTGCAAAATTGTATGAATCGAGTAAAAATAAAAATAAAAACTCGCGATATTTCAATATCAACGCGTAATTCATTCGAAATAGCATAAAATAATTGAGCTTTTTTTAGTCCTTCTTTCATAAATTTATATCCTATATTTATTATATATTATTTATACAAAAAAAAGAAATTATGTTATCACTAATCTCTGAACGAATTAATTATTCATGTATCATCTATTTTGCAAAATTAAAGCTGAGATGCAAATCTCATTTTTTCCACTTTCGTCTGATATCTCTAAATATTGTATATCGAATTAATTCGTAATCTATATCGCATTTCATTTATTGCCATTTTGCGAACTTGTCTAACATTACTACGTACATTTATTTTGCAAAATCATCAAGTGATCGAATAATGTATAGTATTTATGATATATTCATGTTCGACACATTTTGCAAACGGTGCATCACTAATTTACAGAATTTAGGTTTAATCTCATCTGATCATAATTGTCCGAATCATAAATATTAGCGCGGAGGGATCGAATGTGTTGTAAGCTTCGATACGACTAATTATTTAAATATAAATTGTCGTTTGTACAATTTCACGGTGATCGTACAATTTCTCGGCGTATTCGTGCGCGCATTTTTTTACGCATCCTTGCTCTCTTAAAATAAACGTATAATTATTTTTTCACGCATCGCGATTGTTTGACAAAGTGAGAATTCGAGTGCGATACCGGTCGACGTTTAATAATAATCGTCATAAGTAATTTTCACAGAGAATACAATTTTTTCCGCGTCCGCGGTTTTGTTTTCATACACGCGGGACACACTTCGACAATAATCGGACACAAAAAATCTTGAAAAAATATTCGAGAAAGGATAATTTGAAGAAGAAAATCTGGCCGCGCAAAATTACGCGCCGAAGGATCACGAATGCTCACAGATAATATTTGGCCCGCGTCGGAGCACCTGCGTCTCGCGGATTCATCTCTTCATTGCAACGGGGTCGATACAATCGGCAGCAATTCGGAAACGGGCTTGTCAGCTCCCGGAGCCCGAAACAAATGTTGGAAATTTTGCGTCACCGTGTGTACATACAGCGTACTCGTTGCCCGCGATGGATTCCCAATGGCGTTCGTTCGATCGCCGTAGCAATCGGCGGCATTTATACGCCCAGTGGCCGATGTCGCTCAATGCGATTAATGCGATTACGTTGTCCCGGGGACACATAATGCGACTGCCGCGCGCGCGTTGGATTTTCGTGCGTTGACCCGCCCAACGCGATCCCCCTTGATTTAATCTAGCTAAATAGGTTTGGGACGGCTCGCACGCGCTCGCGCTAATTCCCGAATGCGCGTATAATATGAGCGTGCATTAGGCGAGATTCGCGCCACGTCTCTCTTTCATGGTCGAAATTAATAAACGGCCACACTAGAATCTCTAATCCGTTTTACCCGTAGGATTCTGTACGTGCAAACGTTTGATGAAACCTGTTTCGATGTAATTATCAGTGGGAATAATTAGTGCGGGAATAATTTCGTTATCTTTGTAATTTCACCTGCGAAAAATATATAGCACTGCTGCACCTGCTCGTTTCGCGCGAATAAATCTTATATTAAAGAAATAATAGGTACATGTAATCTATTTTATGAAGAAACAATGAAAGATAAATTTTCGTAACTCTAGGAAATATTAAATTATCGGTCAACTAACGCAATTGACTGCAATTTTTTTTTTTTATAAACTTCTAACTTTTATTAACGAAGAAAATTGAGAAAAGTATGCTTTAACTTTTAACTAACCGAAAGAATGAATTCTTATTTTCTTTCCCCGGAGAATCGAGACGTCATATCTTTTTGTAGACTGAAAAAAATTTTGTTAACTCGAGTAAATCTTTCGATTAAATATTATTTTGTCGATTGAACATATCAAATTTATTTAAATTAAATGTAACATATTAAATCTAACAAAACGTATATTTCATTTAAATACTAACGTATGTTCAATTAACAAGATAGTAATTTAGTTGAAAGGTTCAGTCAAATTAACAAATTTTTTTCAGAGTGCATATAAATAATAATATTTTTTTAAAATAATAAAACAATACGATTCTTCGTGATGGCAAAATCTGTTCTGTCTATTTACTATAGGCACTATATCTATTGCCATCACTAGAGATTCGGCAAACCGACGGCTTGGAACCGCCGACGTCTTTTTCATCTCCCAGGGGCGTGCCACGCCGCTTCTGGAAGTCGTGAAAAATCAACGCCGATAAAGTTAGTCCGACAAAAGTTTCACGAAGTCCCCAAACCTCAGGCGAGCGATATACTAACCGACAGCCGATCGTAGATACACATTTGGAAGTTGGGAATACTGTGAACGTTTCATCCACAATTTCATGAATTACTCCGAAAATCCGACTCTTGAAGATTAGGATGGACTTTGATGTATTTTTAAATAGATATGCACCTTTGAATTATAATTATAATATGCATCTTTGAGGCGAATTCTGTAGGTTGAAAGAGAAAATATCAGACGTTGTTTTAAAAATGTGTATACGGTAAATGATAAAAAATTTGTAATGCTACATCATATTATACATTAATTATTTTATTAATGATGTTATATTTTTTATGCCGATTATTTTTGAGAAAAAATATATGTATATATTTTTTATGCTCGTTCTCATTTTCGCGTATAATGCAAGTAATTTACATTTTTACATTTTATATGTAACAAAGGAAATTTTATGTGCGCTACATGAATTCGCCTCTCAAAGGCGAAGGAGCGAGGAGGAAAACTTGCATATTGCAGAAACGTCGTGCAACTCGAGAGATGCTACGCGATGTGTGCGCTAGGCGAAGGAGAAATTAACCAAAGCACGTGCAAGACCCGCTTGACTTTACAACGTGAAAGGATTTCTGGGTTCATTTGAGAATGTGTCTAATTAACACCGCGAAAGAGAAAAGAAAATGGAAAAGGAATCGAGAACCTGCTCCGCAACTTCTCTAATGAAAATTTCGCGTTTCCAGAACCGGTTCATCGATGTTCTCGCGATAAATGTTTTTTGACAATAACACATTTGATAAAAATTTTACCTGTTGCCACAGAAATATGCGTGCTCTGGTGAGTACAAATTAACGTAAATTGTTTCGAACAAAGAGAGTCGCGCTTAGAAAATATCGATAAAATTTCAAAAAGTATCAACAAAGAAACTGCAACGAATAACAAATGTGTATATTGGAGGCTAGCCATGCCATGTAATAACTATTTACTCGGGAACAATTAAAAATAATTGCTTTCGGTGGGAAAAAATATCGAGATGGCGAGCATGGACAAATCGATTACCCGGAATTCGCTCGTTTGGTACCAACATTGATATCCTCCTTTTTTATATTTTATTTTTAGTATCGTATTTTTGTGCTTTTTCTCTCTCTCTCTTTTTATTTTTTAGTAGTGTATTGGGGACGCGAGTCTTTTGATTGCGGCATCGAAATAACGGGCGCAAAAATCTCGACGTTCGCCGGGATTAATTGAAACTGTTCACCGGCTACAAAGGCCGCGGAAAAATCGCAGTTATTTTGATTTCCCTTTAGTTTCTGATGGACAGCAACGCGTAGGAAAACAAACGGTCCGCTAACGTTGTTTCGTGGGAACAATCGAACTGGAAAATAGTGACGATGCCAGCGTTACTGCTTTAAGGGGAGACAGGGCGTTTCCGTCAGACCGCATGATCGGGGCCGATCATGCGAATTTGCGCGATTCTCGCTTCGCGAGGAGCAGGTGAAGGTTTGTGTAAAGTATCGCAAACGCGGACTAAAAACGATTGTTACGCGCCGCCGCCTAGCTCTGAGGGTTTTCGCGGCCTCTGGTTTTAATTGCAAAAATATCATCGCCGCGAAATGAAAACGGCGAGATGACGGAACGCGAAATGCGGTTTATTTTTATTTTATTTTATTTTATTTATTTTTTTTTTGTGGTACGCGATATAACACCAGGTTTTTACACCTATTATAATAATTTATAATGTGTATAAAATTGCATA